CGATGTTCGCCATACTCAAGAGCACACTACTGAAACAGACTTAAGTCCATTAATTTCATTGAGTCACTGTTTTAATATTCTTAAATTAGCATAAACAAGTACTTATCAAGGAGTTACATTTAGAAGCCCGGCATAATAGCCATGTTTTAAAATATAAGCATAGTTAAGATTACTTTAATGCACTGTGGGCTGACAATACAGTGCTAATGCTGCAAAGATCTAGATTACAGGTGAAAACAATCTTGCACAGGAAATTTTGATATTGGTTACTGAAGAATGAAGGCTGCACCATAATTAATTTGACCCCTGTAGGATTTCTCTCTGTGTGAAGTGGGAAGATTTAGGAAGCTGAATAAGGTCCAGTCTGCAATCCTATTCCCACTTACAAGGGAGTAAGCCCCAATGAACTCAAATGAACTTACTTCTTAGTAACAATTGCACTGCAAGAATAGTCAATATTTCAGGAACCAAAGTAGTTTAGGATGCCCACAAAGGGTTGATTTAATGTTGGCAGCAGGTTTGGACTTAAACCAAAATCGTATTGGGGAAGAATTTACTCTCATGTACCAGTGGTGAACTAATTTATTGCTATACCAAGAAGCAGCTTTAAATCAGGTGTACAGAACCAGCTGAGGGACAGGAAGACTTAAAAGATACTACTGGGGATTCTGTGAACTCTTTCATAGCAAAAGAAAGCTTTGATCAAACCAACTGAGAAAGCTGCATCATATTGATGCTAAAATATTTACTATCAGTTCATTAAACACATCTATCAGACACAAACGGTGTCATATTGCCAGCTAGGTAGCTGATGTGCTAGGAACGAAGGACACAAGACAGGATGTTTGCGAGCAACAGGCATGTTTATAGCTGACCACCAAGTTTTGCTTAACCAGCCAGTGACAAAATGATCTGTAAGGAGCTTCAAGCAGAGAGATGCCATCAACAGGTATGAAACAGTTAATTTTGGTAAAAAAATAATAATATTTGTGCGTCCTGCAGTAAAACAAGTTTAATGCAACTGAGAGTGGGAGGTGTGGACATCCTTCTCCCTTCTCATAAAGGGAAGGTTGAAGTTGTTGTCTAGTAGGCTATAAAACTCATATGGCACTTTCAATAAATACTTTAAAGCTTCTTAAAGAAACCAGAAGGTTGTGTGTTTGCTTCTAAAGAAGAGAAAAGCAACTGCTGTAAACCAAGCCTGTTTTAGCCATCACATAAATAACGCTGCGAGAAAATAAAAAAGGAAATACAAAGCAGCAGAGTTCTTACAATAATTAAAAGACAGCACATCTCTTTCTCCACCACCATCAACAACCTGGATCATTAAATCTCACATTTAAGAAGATATATAGGTTCGAGGTGTGTTTAAGCTTCATTGTTGTTATTTCACTTCATCCTCTCCGAAGCTTCTGCCGTTCCTCTTTACAACATCAATCACAAAGATAAAGTTACTTTGGGTCTTTGACACAAATTGTTCTGTTGTCCCAGTTTGAGCCTGTTTTACATGCGACCAAATTCAGCCCAGCCAGTTCAAAGTTGGGACTTTCCGAGTGCTTAGCTCTCACCCTGCCTTCTTGGGGATAGCAAAAGGAAGGGGTTTTTAAAACACTACACAAGCCACCCTGGTGGGTCACACAAATTGTGCAGCCCTCTTCTCATTTTGCTCCACAAAGGACAGCAAACTTAACACTTGCGTTCCGAATTTAAGAGCGAATCCCAAGTCAGGTTTGTGAATCAAGTAAGTGTAGTTAAATTCAATATAAAAACAAAGTGGAAAAAGAGTAAATGGGGAAAGGCTTTGCCTTAAAAAGCTACACACGTGCCTTAACTTCTTGTAGTATTTCAGCCAATAAAACGATTCTCGTGTTTTAACCATTAGTATTCAGATTTAGGCTCAAACATGACAGCCTTTAAGAATTATGGGCGGGGGCAACCTAAACATCAAGGAAGGTGTCTGCATTTGTCACGTACAGCCATCTCTAAAAATTAAATAGGTGCACACTCCTCAACTCTGAATACATTCGATCCTTAAAAGTAAATCACACTGGTTTCAGTGGAGTTTACTTCCAAGTAAGTAAAATTTAGAATTGGTGTGAAAGATGCATGTTTAAGCACTGTCGAGTCTAAAACTGGTTTGGATGTTCAAAAGATGCAGGGGGAAGAGGGAGTGACTGCTGCTGATTCTCACTCTTCATACCTCGGTTGTTCCCCCAAGGCAAGGGGTGCAATGCCAAACCCCAAGCAATGGAAATACACCCCCACACTTTGAATTGCACCTGGAAACATAGAGACACTTGCTCTTTCCTAGGGAATGTCAAAAATAACTCTGTACTGTTTTTATGGGAGACAGGGAAGAGCAATCAGTTGCAGGACATCTGCCTCATCAAATCCATCCAGCAGTAAGCCTGCAATTTTATTTTATTTTTTGGAACAGTCTAACTGCAGGTAGTGAAACTGCCTTGGCAGAAATGGGCTGGGAACTATTGAATTCAAAGCTAATTTTTAATACTATTATCATCCTGTGGCAGGTAGTGAGTGTAAACAAAACAACTTTCTTTTGCGGATTGATGTTGCAGCCAGAGGAAAAAGTTAAAATTTCAAGAGAACAAAACGAAAAGATGCACTGATCTTTCACTAAAACAGCTTGTGCTCCCCACTGCCCCCCAAAAAGTAAGAGAATGGAAACAGCCTTTGCAAAGAACAGTGAATAATGCCCAGAAACCTTTTTATAGGCAGTTATTCTAAAACCGTTTACACTTATTTACAATGGTGTTTTATAAAAACAAAACAAAAAAACAAAAAAAATGGTAGCACTTCCTAAAATATTTTGGAACTTTTTTTAAAACTTTTTTTCTCTTTTTTTAAAACTCCCTTGTCATAAAAGCCAACTTACATTAAAATATACATACTACAAGACAACACAACTAACAAAATATATAATAAAACTCATACAAGTAGAAAATTCTGAGGTATTTCTGGTTTGAGGTGATCTGTGGTCGTGAAGTTTTTTCAAAACTTTTTTTTTTTTCAGTTTTAAACCTCGGAAGCCACGTAATGCGTATGTGTGTTCTAATTTTTTCTTTTCTTTTAAAAAATCATTGCATGGTTTGCAAGTTAAAAAAATATTTAAATGTTGAATCAGCAGCATTAGGAACATTCACTGATTAGAGCGAGTTTATGGCATAAATAGAATCAACCGTGTTGAAAATACGCACCACTGTTAAGGTGAAAGAGTTGGGTGACAGAGTTCAGAGAACGAAGAATCAAGAAGAACCAACTAACCGACGGCGAACCTTGGCCTGGGTGTGACAGGCCCCAATGGGACAATGGAACTTACTTCCAAGCAAAGTATACCAATATGCTTAGGATCGGGGCCGAGAAAGTACAAATGAACAGCTACACTAGGCTACAAAAGTGCAGCTGAGCTAGAACCCCCGTTCCAAAGTGGTTTAAGTGTCATGGCTTCCATTAAAGAAGTTTGGGAAATGTAAGCTTTGGGAGGCATTAATACTTAAAATAAAATAGAAGCCCACCGAACCACACACCCAATTTCATTGGAGATACCAAAAGAAGCTGAAAAGATCCGGAATGGGTTTAAATCTGTCACACAGATGGGCTGCAATATAAAAGTAAACAACATGGTTATCTCCACATATCCCATCCACATCGGCCAACCCACTGAATTAAGCACATTTTCTGGGAAATGTGGATGCATCGGGATAGAACGACTGAAATCCAGAACCTTTAAGAATTTCACTAGTTTCTCAAGCACATTTACTTGGAAGTAAGGCCTATTGCTCAGTGGGATTTCCAAGGAAATCAGTTTCCGATCACAGCATTACACGCTAAGAACCTGTTGCAGGCATTAACCGTCTTCTTTTTGAGCTTACATGTTTTGTTTCCCCTCGCATTTTTATTTGAAAACAGGACTTTTAGAAACTCCAAACGTTGCTCCAATCGGACGCCGCGTGGGAAATCTGCCCAAAACGCAGCAATTCAGCCCCAAGACCGCATTCTCTGAACTTTTTTTTTAAAGATATAGGGGTTTTCTTTTTCCTTTATGTAAATACCGCCGAAGCCTGAGGTAACGAAAGGACCTAATTCCGCCGGCGATTCGCTGTGACCCAACTTTCTCCGTGCTCCGCAGCGGTTTTAATACTCTTGCCTCAAAACTTGCCCCTTCCTCTCATGAACTGTTTACCTGAGAAGTAGCTCCCTAAGCAGGTGTTTTTCCCGAATGCTGCCAGAGTTCAACGTCTCTCTCTCTCTTCTCTCCCAAGTCCCAATACTAAATTTTTCCCTTTCGATTCTATACCGTCAAAGAGTGAGCGTTCTTCTTCTTGGCTCCTCTCCCAACTCCCCGCCTCCCCCCTCACCCCCACATTACGGCGACACCCGTTACACCCGTAAAAGACACGTCTGCTTTTGTTTTCTTTTTTTTTTCCTTCTTTTTTTTTTTTAAGCTCGCTGTCAAAAATAGAAAAGGAACAACGGAAAAAGAAAAAGTCGCGGGGTGTGAGAGTCTTGTTATGAGGTGTGATCTTATGTAACAGTCTTTTTAAGCTTGCAGCATGATGTCCTTGCCGATGGGTAGGTTTTTTGTTTGCTTGGTATCGCCGATGCCTCGCGTAGAAAAAAACAGACCGGACAAAAGAGAAAACCCAGAAAACAGGATTATTATTATTATTTAAAAAAGGGAAATAAAAGTGAGTCCATTGAGGTCTTGAGGTACCTGCATTGTTATCTGCATTCATTAGTCGGCACCCGAATGCTTGCTGAGATGTCCTCGTTTTCCTCTCCCCCCCCCCTCGTTTTAATACAGTAGAGCAATGTGCTGGTAAAATTGATCCAGTCAAAATAATAATAATAAAAACATCAACGACAATAATAATAACAATAATAATAATAACAATAAAAAGTCAAGATTAAAATAGCAGCTGCATTTGTGTGTGTGTGTGTGTGTGTGTGTGTGTGTGTGTGTGTGTAATGTATGTGTTTGTGTATGTTGGATTGTGGTTTAACTTCTTTCTTTTAAAAAAATCCAGTGAGTCTGGAAAGACCACAAAAAATAAAAAAACAAAAAACGTGAACCAGGCTTTAGATACTTGACTCTTTGGGCAACAAGTCCACGTTGGTGACAGAGGTCACAATGGAAACGAGGCAGTCCGAGGTAGGGCCGTTTGCTGATTTGCGTATCTGAGAAATCCGCTCCTCTACGCAACCTGCCGAGAGGCGTGCCTCTGCGTCGTGGTCCCAGCATTCTTCTATCGTGACACAAAGCTGTGCCAAACCCTGGAGACAGAGGGTAAGAGGACAGGGGTGTTTAGCTCATAGGACACCAAGGGTGGAGTTAGGAACAGCATTAAGCCTAGAATCCCACTTCCCTTCCCATCACTGCTGACCCCGCCTGGTCGCTGCTAGGTGCTGCTTCCTCAAGCTGGGATAAAAACTGGCGCCGATTTCTTCATGTTTATGAAAGGCGAACCATATCACATTTATATACAGTGGTACCTCAGGTTACATACGCTTCAGGTTACATACGCTTCAGGTTACATACGCTTCAGGTTACAGACTCCGCTAACCCAGAAATAGTGCTTCAGGTTAAGAACTTTGCTTCAGAATGAGAACAGAAATCGTGCTCCGGCGGCGCAACAGTAGTAGGAGGCCCCATTAGCTAAAGTGGTGCTTCAGGTTAAGAACAGTTTCAGGTTAAGAACGGACCTCCGGAACAAATTAAGTACTTAACCCGAGGTACCACTGTATTGCAATTTACTCATTTCAGAACACTTAACCTTTGAAGGAAAACCTCTCAGTGGTGCGCAATATGTAAAAGAACAATACAAAACTATCACGAGTCAAATTTGTGGAGTCCGGCTTCAACGATCGGATTCAGTGGTCAAGAAAAGCCAGAATGATTAAAGAGATGTCTAAAAACAGACAAGAGGAGTATCCTACGCAGCAGAGAAAAAACAGCAGACCCAGGCTTAACTGCTTCAAGTGAGATCTAGGCCTTTGTGGCGTGTTCTACAGATACTATTTTTTCAACCAACACAAACAATCTACCAGTCTGGGGAATTTATTTCATTAGTGTAGCTCTCTTTTATTTTCCTTATGTCTAAATGGATGCCCAGAAGTGTTCTAAGGAACTGCATCCTTATATTAATTGGACCAAAACCCAGAAACGGCTTATAAAACAACGGCAGCAGCAGCAGCAGCAGCAACAATATAAAAACCGTTTCCTGGGTTGACACAAAATCAACCCCTCAGAAAAACTCGTCACTTAGGCCCAGACCCAAATAACTTTCTATGTAGGCAGAGGCTTGAGAATGCCTCTCCCTGACCCATACAATCGGACCTGGTTTTACATCTCTGAATCCTCTGAATTTCTGTTTCATTCACTTTCATTGTGTTTCTTTCATATATGTGCTTTCCCCTGCTCTTATCTGTGTTTCTTTCTATATTACATTTTTTTAATGTTAGATGCTGTAAAGATGCTTTTAAACAGATAATATAATACATAAAAGCTGAGGAGAGAGGGGGGGAGGGGGGTGTTTGTGTACAGGCCTGCCACCCACATCACATTACCTCACAATCTGCTTTTGAAAGTCCCCTAGGATTAGAATGAATAAATGAACGAAGAAAGCTGATGTAAAAAGAAAACACGGATCCAAATCTCTATGCAGTGCTTGGAACTAGTTCAAGGTTCGTGGGTAAAAGCCTCAGCGCCTAGGGCTTGCCGATCGAAAGGTCGGCGGTTGAAACCCCGCGGCGGGGTGCGCTCCCGTCGTTCGGTCCCAGCGCCTGCCAACCTAGCAGTTCGAAAGCACCCCCGGGTGCAAGTAGATAAATAGGGATCGCTTACTAGCGGGAAGGTAAACGGCGTTTCCGTGTGCGGCTCTGGCTCGCCAGAGCAGCGATGTCACGCTGGCCACATGACCCGGAAGTGTCTCCGGACAGCGCTGGCCCTCGGCCTCTTGAGTGAGATGGGCGCACAACCCCAGAGTCTGGCAAGACTGGCCCGTACGGGCAGGGGTACCTTTACCTTTACCTTTATAATTTGAAATAGGTTTTCTTCTTTTAAATCCAACTAGAGAAATCAGGAGGACCTGCTGATCTCCCTTTCTCTTCTCCTTGCTCCTCTCACTGCAATCCTAATGGCTACTCAGAACCACTGCAAATTAAGGCAATGCTAATAGTAATACTGATACCAATACTAAAGGTATTACCTTTAGTACCTTTAATTCTAAAGGTAAAGGACCCCTGGACGGTTAAGTCCGGTCAAAGGCGACTATGGGGTTGCGGCGCTCATCTCGCTTTCAGGCCAAGGGAGCCGGCGTTTGTCCACAGACAGCTTTCCAGCTCATGTGGCCAACAGGACTAAACCGCTTCTGGCGCAACAGGACACCGTGACAGAAACCAGATTGCATGGAAACGCCGTTTACCTTCCCAACACAGCGGTGCCTATTCATCTACTTGCCCTGGCGTGATTTCAAACTGCTAGGTTAGCAGTACTAATACTATCATTACCGGTAGTAATAGTAAGGTAAAGGTAAAGGGACCCCTGACCATTAGTTCCAGTCGCGGACGACTCTGGGGTTGCGGCGCTCATCTCACTTTATTGGCCGAGGAAGCCGGTGTACAGCTTCCGGGTCATGTGGCCAGCATGACTAAGCCGCTTCTGGCGAACCAGAGCAGCGCACGGAAATGCCGTTTACCTTCCCACCGGAGCGGTAACTATTTATCTACTTGCACTGGTGTGCTTTCGAACTGCTAGGTTGGCAGGAGCAGGGACCGAGCAACGGGAGCTCACCCCGTCGCGGGGAATCGAACTGCCAACCTTCTGATCGGCAAGCCCTAGACTCTGTGGTTTAACCCACATTGCCACCCGCGTCCCTGGTAGTAGTAATAAACCCCACCAAATTTTATTCTAGAGGGTTTTGTCTTTTTTTAATGCTGCAAGTCAAAAACTTGTGATTGACTTGAATGGGGCTTTCTGCTCTATAGCGCGGTACTTTTTGAACCTAGTTTGCTAGAGAAAGGATTTAAACAGTATTAATGAGAAAGGACATACAGGGTGTTTAAGCCAGTGATCCTTGAATGCAGGGCGCATCTTCTTGTGAACCACCACTTCCTGTAAGTCCTCGAGTGATGGATGCTGCCCGATCTCCTCTTCGAAAGGCAGCATGTACTCATCTACCGGACCTGAGTTTGAAAAGGAAGGAGAACATCATTATATGGCAGAGCTCCTTGGAGGAGACAGAAAGGTCGAATTCAGGGTGACCTATGGCTGTGTACACATTATCAGCTTAAAACAGAGCTGAGTTGTTCACTTTTTCTCAGTTTGGATCAAAGCTGGGAGGGGGGTTGGGGGGGCGGAACCACATTGAAACATAATGTTTCCTAAGAAGTAACAGGATAGATACAGGATGAATATGGATTATGGCTAACATCATGGAAGTGAACTGGATGAAGAGTAAGATGGAATAAGTCTCCACAGCAACACCAGAAAGTGGCACAAAGATCACATTTCACACATACATGCAGGTCCCACTATCCGAACTCTAGTTATCCAAGATCTATTACCCAAATAATTATACCCAAACTTCAGTACATGAATGGGTGGCTCAGATCTCCAAACAGCCATTTAAACTGGCTTGGTTTCCCCAAACCATAGTTTCAGTATCTACCGTTTGCCTGGGCTTGGACAAGTAAATGCATGTAGCAGAAAACTAAAGCAAAAGTTTCCAATTTCATCTTCGTGACCCTGCTGAAAGAGAGGAGGGAAGTGTACTAGCCCATTCCCAAAACACTAATTAGAAGCATCATATCTCAATGCAGGCACTAGCCCAAAGAGGTACCTTCCTTCCCTTGGTACAGAACAGACTCTTCCCTTTATGTATTTAGATCCAGAGCTAATTTTTCAGTCATCTAGCACTCCAAGTGTCTTACAGTCAGTAATTAAGGCAAAGGTACAATACCACAAAAGACAATAAAACATATTGAAGGTTAAACCAACCGTTCAAAATAAATATGAAGAAAATAGGTCAATGAACTCAGAAGGCTCAAAAGGACCCAGTATGCCTGAACTAGCGCTTTCCAACTGATTAAAGAAATATTGTTAATTAATCACGCAAATTTTAGGTCACTGACCAATTAATCTATTCGGTTTGCATGTGAGTAATTCTGGCTTGAGTAAATATAGTAGTATAGGACATAAAAATAGAGGGAGGAAGTATACCATCTGAACTGAAAGCCTAGAATTAAACAGATAAGGAGAAAACAGGCCGTTCTCTAAAAACAACAACTACTTATAATCTCTGGCGGTCGTTAAATCAAGAAAGTTCCTAAATGTTGCGTATGCAGGCACAGAGCCCACATGTGTGACTGCACAGCTAGCACAAAGAAAAATTACTTATTATTTCAAGTTTCTAGTGGTCGTTAAATTGACCTTTTGCAGCAGGCAGTACAAAGTTTGCAACCCTTTTGACTACTTCTACATTTCTGGCTCTCAAGAAGGGTGCAATATTGTAAAAGTTCTTGTGTAACCCAGGACATAACTATATGGAGATATGTTATCTGCCATATTGTTGTGCATTCATATGGGAATTTTCTCCATGATCTTAGGTGGTATTATTATTATTATTTACTATTTCTTACTTCGCCAAACCTTAATTAGGCATTACAAGTATAAAGGTAAAGGGACCCCTGACCATTAGGTCCAGTCATGTCCGACTCTGGGGTTGTGGCGCTCATCTCGCTTTACAGGCCGAGGGAGCCGGTGTACAGCTTCCGGGTCATGTGGCTAGCATGACTAAGCCGCTTCTGGCGAACTAGAGCAGCGCACGGAAACGCCGTTTACCTTCCCGCCGGAGAGGTACCTATTTATCTACTTGCACTTTGACGTGCTTTCGAACTGCTAGGTTGGCAGGAGTTGGGACCGAGCAACGGGAGCTCACCCCATCGTGGGGATTCAAACCGCCGACCTTCTGATCAACAAGTCCTAGGCTCTGTGGTTTAACCCACGGCGCCACCCGCATCCCATCCATCCATATATAAAATTTTAAAATATATACAACTAAACAGCCACGTAAAATATATAACAACGAGGATTTTCATTGGGATTTCTTCCCGCTAAATAGTGCCACTCACCACTCTAAGAGATGCTATTGATGAAAACTCAGCCACCCTTGCAGTTACTTCTGGGTTAATGTCGGACAGATAGAATCTGAGATTTACTATTTCATAAAAGTTTATATACCACTTAATTGTTTGGGGGAAACCTTGAAAGCGGCGAGGTGACTAAGGGGGTCCCCACTCTGCTGGCAACATTCCAGTTGGGCAAAGGCGCTCCCAGAATTTCCTGGAAACCAGAGACAGTGGGACTAACCCCAAAGCTGTATACACAGTAGAGATTGTGATACTTACCATCAGCTGCTTTGCACCTGGAGACCAACTCCCACAAGACTAGCCCCATGGCATACATGTCTATTCTGAGGAAGGCGTCTCTCTGGAAGTTTATTGCTCCCTCTAAAACCTCGGGAGCCATGTATCTTCTTGTTCCCACCTGAGTCAGAAAGAGGAATAGGCCACTGAGACGAAAGGGTGGCAAATACAGAACCCCCATCCTTAAAACTGCGGGGATTTTTCTTCTTTCTTTAATTGAAACCATACTTTTCCGTCTATAAGACGCCCCCTGTTTTGCGGGACTCAAATTTCAGGAAATGGGGGGGGAGATCACACAGGGTTGTTGAGCTTTTGGGAGGGGGGCGGGAATTGCTGTAAATTGCTCCCCTGCACGCGTCACAAAATCCGCCTCCCATCTGTCCCCTCGCCAGCAGAAGCTGCCAATCGCCCGCCCAACTCCTGCAGCGTCAGCCAATCAACACCACCCATTGACGCAGCAACCAATCTCACACACAATTGCCGCTAACGGACGTAGCAGCAACCAATCAAACGTCCTATTCACTACCCATGTATAAGACGACACCAGTTTTTTTGCATGATTTTTCAAGAAAAAAGTATAGTCTTATACACGGAAAAGTACAGTAGTCATCATTTGCAGAAGGAGGTGGAGGAGCAAGACTTTCCCATACCCTATGTAGGGCTTCCCTCCCCCTTCCAACTTGAGTCATGCATCTGGTCTTAAAGCGTTCTCCATATTCAGCGCTGCAGGAAATTCGGGGGGGGGGGGCAATACCATGTGGGGTGGGTGTGTGTTTGTGGATGTATCAGTACAAAGCTGAATGGTGGGGCAGCGCTCTCTCCATCTGCACATCCCAAACAAAGAACTGTCGAATAGTTGAAGTGTATCCTGCAACATTGAATGTCAGCTTCTGGTTTGCGCAATTTGCTAGCTGTATCTGGACTGGGCTGATCGCTGGGATGAGCCACTGAGAGCTCTTAGCATCTGCAGCAGAATGAGGCGGAAGAGTGGACCGCACTACACCAGCCAGTTTCGAATGTTTCGCCACATCAAAGAACGTGCCAGCAAAACAACAAACACGTCGCAGAGAAAGGTCCCAGGGTAACCCACTCACTGCGCTGTGCCTAGTATTCTCCTTGCGGGGAGATGGATTCTTCAATATAATATATAAACACACAAACACATCTTTTTTGTGATTGTATTCACTGCTACTGAGCGCTATTACCACTAGCGGATCATGGCAGTCGTTTGGTGTTGGCACCCACGGCACTTTTGTCAAGATGTGAGAACTGGCATCTCTCTCTCTTTTGATCAAAAACCTCCCCCCCTTCCCCCGATCTTCAGGTGAATAAATAATTTTTAAAAATAAAAGAATTGGAAGCATTCAAAAAATGGAAGCGTCAGTGGTTGACTAAAGTGGCAAGAAGCCCTTTCTGCCAATTCAGGACTTTGAAACCTGATTCTGCTGCAGGCGTAGTCCAGGGACTCTGCTGGACAGCACAGATGGATTCTGTGAACAATGATGTGACCGCATGGAAATGTAGTTTTCCCAACAGGCAAGCCATAGTAAAGGTGATGACTAAGTGCGCCCATTAATTTGCCAATTACTACGTCTTGTCCCTAAAAATGGTATAATTTCTTGTCCCGAGGAAATGCTGCTGTATGCACTGAGAAGTGTTGCTAAGGGAGGTAAGCAGACACTTTTGCCAAGCCGCAGGTGTTACCTGTCCGTGGGTGTCTCCTGGAGGTTTCCCAGGTTCAAACCGTACAGCCAACCCAAAGTCTGCTAGCACGGCTGTCAAGTCATTCTTCAGCAATACGTTTTTGCTCTTGAAGTCCCTGCAAGGGGGGTGGGGACAGAGGAGGGAATTAAGGTCACAGATACCATCGCTCTGAAATAGGCAGTTCCAGGTGAATATGCCTATGTGAGTTCTGCTACGGATGTAAGCATGAGAAGTGGGTTTGATCTTGTTTTTCATGAACGGAAAGACCAGCAAGTAAAATAAGGCCAACCTGGAGACCAGCTCATCCTACACCACCACCGGTCAGCTGCCCAGTTGGTATAGGACACACACACACCCCAACACGGCCTTTTCGGTGGTGGCTCCCCAGAAGTGGAATGCCCTGGCTCGGAGTTGCATCCGTCTCCATTATCAACCTTCAGGAGGAATTTGAAACCATTCCTGTTTATCCAAGGATTTGGCAACTGAATAATTATGTTCCAGGCAACCATAAGATTGTTGGATGCAAGAGTGTCTTTAATTGCTTTAAGAATAACTGTTTTTAGATGTTTTTAATTGTAACTTTAAAAAAAAAAATCTGCTTTGGAACGTTTGCTTTGTTTTTGTATTATATGTTACATCTGTTTGCCGCTCTGGGCTCTTTCAGGAGAAAAGGAGGGATGGAAATTCAATAAATAAACAAACGAAGACATGAGAAGCTTCTGAAGCCATTGCTGTTTTCGTGTCATCTAGACTCCTCAGCCAGCCTTTTCTGGAGAGCGGAGTTAGGCTCTGGAACCGTAGCTGTTGCCCTGGCTCCCTCACTTTTTGTCCTTACCTACCCTGTAAGTTCAAAAGCCCTGGCTATTAAGTGATTCCTGAACTTTCTAACATTTTCAGCGTGGGTTAAGAAGAAAAAGGGATGTGGGTGAATATAATTAAATTACAGACCTTAGGCAGCAGATGGCAAGCCCATGTGTGTTTGGCATTATAATTCTCCTGCCATCAATTCAATTCACTGTGGTATCCCTACCGGTCAGACTGCGGGACAACAGCGGGGCCCAGCGACATAATTAATGAGGGCAGAGACAATTGTTTTCTGAAGTCTCCTGTCAGAATACGTTACGGAGAGAGACACCGCAGCAGAGAGAGGAAGAGAGTTCAGTGAGTTCCCAGGGAACAGAATGCCCTGCAGGCGAATGGCATCCTCTTGCGATTCTCTATTCTTCTGAGAGGAAGGTCTTCCTCACATCCTAAACACTGGAGGTGTGATACAACTGGCACCACAGATTCCAGTGGCCCAGATGGAGGAAAAAGAGGTGGCTGAACCACTGCTGAGCACTGAAATTGGCGAGCAATATTTTGGCAGAATGTTATTTACTCTACTTGTAACGGGGGCAGCCAATGTGTTGTCTTCTGCATCAACAGTGTGGTCAAGAAAGATGGGTACAGTGGTACCTCGGGTTACATACGCTTCAGGTTACAGACTCCGCTAACCCAGAAATAGTACCTCGGGTTAAGAACTTTGCTTCAGGTTGAGAACAGAAATCGTGCTCTGGCGGAGCAGCGGCAGCAGGAGGCCCCATTAGCTAAAGCGGTGCTTCAGGTTAAGAACAGTTTCAGGTTAAGAATGGACCTCCGGAACAAATTAAGTACTTAACCCGAGGTACCACTGTATTGTGGTCTAACAACATCGGGAGATTGTGGTTTTTTATTATTATTATTATTATTATTATTATTATTATTATTATTATTATTATTTCAGGGCTGTTCACAACATAAAATAAATGGGCCTAATTAAGTCATGTGCATTCATTTCAACAGTGGCGTAGCGTGGGGGGTGCAGGGGGGGCCGGCCGCACCGGGCGCAACATCTGGGGGTTAGGGTTAGGGGGCACAAATCCACGGGTTAGGGGGCGCAAATTACTTGCCTTGCCCCGGGTGCTGACAACCCACGCTACGCCACTGCATTTCAACAGGTCTCCCCTGAGTGAAGCTTCAGCTGAATGTCTCCCCTATTTTAAGAAACTAAAACGGATGAAACTTCTGGCGCGAAAGAGCCACTGACGACGGCAATCGATGCTCCTCTTTTATTTGTTTAGGATTAAACAAAACAACTTTTGTTTAATACTAGGACAAAACGCCCATGTAACCTTCATAAGGGACGACCAGTGCGTTGCCATCTCAGAAATCCTCCAGCTTCTCTGGCCGGCTTTGATAAAGGAAAATGCAATGATCTCAGTGGCTGAACACATGGAGAACGGCTCCAGCTTTGATACCCAGGGCAGGGAAACCCTGGAGAACTGCTGCTGAGGTAGATGGACCAATGGCCTGGCTTTGTCTATGACAACTTCCTGTGTTCCTAGAGCTGCCCTTGAGGCATATGAGCATCAACGCAATGTGTGAAAGGCTATGAGCAAGGTAAGAGTTAATTGCACAGCAGAATAAGACACCTGGCCTAGCCAGATGGGTCTGCTAGAATTTGTTCCGCGTAACCCTGACACCTGTCTCCCAAAGATATCATGTCCCAATGAACTTACAAGAAAGAAGATTCCACCTAAACATTAGGAAGAACTTCCTGACAGTAAGAGCTGTTCGACAGTGGAATTTGCTGCCAAGGAGTGTGGTGGAGTCTCTGTCTTTGGAGGTCTTTAAGCAGAGGCTTGACAACCATATGTCAGGAGTGCTCTGGTGGTGTTTCCTGCTTGGCAGGGGGTTGGACTCGATGGCCCTTGTGGTCTCTTCCAACTCTATGATTCTATGAACTTTTAAAGCGATTGCTAATTGTGAATGGAAACCGCCTGCTTTTGTTTAGGGGCAATAACAGAAAGCGGCGGTGGAGGTGGGAGAACTTTAGCGGAAGGAAGGAAGAACGCCCCAGTATAGATTCAAAGAGGGGGCAGCTGCTTACGAAAACGGAACCTCCTCCTGCACAGCAGGGGGTTGGGCTAGATGACCCCCCAACGCTACAATTCTATGAAATCAGATTCTGTTCTCTTGCCGGCAATTTAAGTGTGTGCAATAAAGTGCCGTCAGGGGGCAGTGCTGCACTTAGAAAGCTAGGACAATAGTTTCCAGACTTGTTCCCTTCAATCCTTTCTGCGTGGACATTATCCCTATGTATCTGCCATGAAAACACTGCCATGCGGCAGAGAATTCTAGGCATGCATGCACCCCAAATGTGCACACACAACGCCACCAACCATATCAACTGACAGGGCACCCTAGAGAGCCCCCCAACACGCCCTTTGCACAGGCAGGCTGTACAGAAGCCATCGTCCACAGAGATCCTCTGGCATTGCAGGCACCCTTACAGAGGAACCTCTGAGAAGCTTCCACACAGTCTGAAAGCCTCTGAGCTGAGGCCGTGCCAAACGGCGCTGGTGCTGATGTGGATTTTCAGAGGGGGAGCCGTGTCAAGGCTGCTGCAGTGGCCCTGAAAGGAAGACTTGAGGCTCCTGAATGTTATTGCGGCATAAGCTTCCATGGTCCAGATTCCACACGATCTGCGGGGAACCCCTGGAGACTGAATGTGGGCCCTCCACGCCTCATTATCCAGCCCTCAGAACACTCCCCCCAGGCCACCCTCCTCGCTGGCCCAATTTGGCACCCCAAGTATCTTTGCCTGGCTGGATTGGCCCATGAGCTCTGATAATGCCTCTGGGAGGAAGATAGAGGGGGCACGTAGGAACTAGACCGTTGACCAGAGCTAAAATTTGTTGTTTTGCTAATTTTGCCTATAGCCCTGCCCAGGGCTGGGGTGTGGCCCTCGTAAGCTTGCCCAGAAGGTAATTTGGCCCTTGGAGTGAAAAAGATCCCCCATCCCTGACCATTAACAACTGATGAAGTAGATTATTGGGCGCAAAAGCTCTTATGCCTTAGCCCAACGACACTAGATGGCCCCACATTGGCTACTCCTCAGCGGTGTGTGTGTCAGGAGTTCAGCCTACACTCAAGTAGAACCCTGGCAGAGACACATGCCCAACAGGCATGTTATCTCCCTCCTGGGCGTTCGTTTGGGAGCTTCAAAAGCTTTCTTCAGCCTGAACACCACAGCGACCGATGCCAACCGACACCGGCACACTTAGGGATCCGCAGAGATTGCACAACTTGCATTAACAGACCTCAGCAACTCAGCATTTTGGCTAATCTACTTTATTTACATATAAACACACACGGAGCACTGCAACATGGCTCCCTCTCTCTCTAGCATCAGACAGCAAAGAGAAAAAGAACAAAGGACAATAGTCCCACTTCAAGGAACACAGTAACACAAACGTCCTGTCTCCGTCACTTCCCACTCTGTGGAGTCAAAACATATACCGTCATGTGAAAGACAACAATCCCATGACTGCAATCATGGAGCAGGAATTCTAACAGTGTGTGTGTGTGTGTGTGTGTGTGTGTGTGTGTGTGTGTTGTGTGACCATCTCTCTGCCTAACTCACCTCACAGGGCTGTTGTGAGGATAAGATGAGATACCTCCGTTTTATCCTGAGCTCCTTGCAGGAAGGAGATGCAACACGACCAGTGAGCAAATGCACATTATGAATCCTAGCCGCACACCCGTACCATTCCCCTCTCTCTCGTCCGCTATGCCCACAGCTTTCTTTCTCTGTGCTTGGATAGCACACCTAGCTGGGTTTACATTTATGTAAGTAAAATGAGGCTGTCCCGGTCACACACCGAGAGTTGTGTCTCTTTTCTTTGTGCTGTAGGTCACAAGCCTTGCTTCTCTCTATTCCTTCTTCCTTCGTGCCTCCCCAACACACACACAACTCTCTCTCCCTCTCCATCTCTGCTTCAGAACTGAGAGCGGCTCCTTCCCACACAAACAAGTTAATAGGACTTGAGCGAAACGTCTTCATTGACCTGACAATGTATTATGAGGGCACGCTCCTTATATAAAGCACCGCATAACACTTTCCTCCTGGTGCCTGAGGTTAATAACGACAGCAACAAAAACAGGCCCCACGTTTTGCTAAGAGACAGAAACTTGTTCGAAGTAGGGGAAAGAACTTGAACCAGGGTCTTCTTGAACCCAAAGACAACTCTCTATTCACCGGCACTACAATGACTCATTTATTCCCACCGCGGCTTTAAATTGGCAGGTGGCAGGGAGGGCTGCGTTTGTTAGATGGCAACCCATTCTCTTCCCATTGCTCTCCCTCTCCCATCACTGCAGTTCATGAAACGGGCACAATGCTATACCTACCATTGCTTGGTGCCGAGGAGCATAACCTGGTAGGCAAATTTGTATAAATCAGTCTTTCCCAACCTGGTGCCCTCCAGCAAAAAAATAATAATGGGGGTGGTGGTGTTAAAAATGGTACAGCCATGTTGGTTGGGACTGATGGGAGCTGTATTAAAAACTAGCAAGGGGGCATGAGATTGAGGAAGAAGGCTCCCCTTAGGACTGGTGTTCTACTGCAGGTGAGGTGGTTGTTGAACACAACTGAAACAGGGGACCTTCTGCATACAAAGTACACACCCTTGGATTTGTGCCACAATTGCCTATATTAAAAACAAAAACAAAACCCCACGTACCTGTGTGCTATAGCAGGTTTATGTCCTTCTCCTTTACACCAAGGGACATCTTCGTGCAAGTACGAGAGTCCGCGAGCCATGGTTTCTGCTATATGGCAGAGTTCGTTCCAGCTGACAATGTTCCCTTTCAGGTAGTCAGTCAAAGAGCCCTGGAAGAATCAGAACATGATGTGTAGCAAGGATTCCCTTCCCAACCCCCACCCTGGCTGCTCAAAGACCCTTATTGCAGCTAGATAGTTATGAGGGGCATTCAGTTCATAATATTTATTTATTTAAACAATTTGCCATTATTCAGAGGCAATGGAGTGAGCCTCTGGGGGTCAAGTCAAACCGCTGGAGAATCACAGCGCCTGCTGTGGCTGCAGAAACCGGTAACTGCTACTTCCCATGTGGTGGTGGTGTTGTTTTGCTGCGTTAGCAGCATCAAAGTGACCTCTCTGGGGTGCAAGTCTGGGCAGGATGTATGGAGTCCCGGGCTGCCCAGGTGACAAGGCCTCCTTCTTGGCCTCTTAAAAAATGTATAATATTGCTTAGCTACAATAGTCACTATAGTAGTTTGCAAGACTACAATACCAAACAAAAAGGCAAAACTATAAAATCAACCTTCAATTAAAATGCTGGCTGGAATTTTAAAAAGTCTTTAGTAGGTGCTGGATATTTAGTAGGGAAGAGGGCTATCTGATGGCCGTGCATTCAAGCCATGGGGAGCCACTAACAATAACCCTTAACTTGGCCCAGTAGCCTATGGGCAGCTCATGCACTGGGCACTCGAGGTGTGTGCTGGCGATAGTCTGTCCCCATCAATGGTCTAGTCACAGCCGCTTTGCACCAACTGGAACCTCTGGGCCAGGCTCAGGGGGAGCTCCACAGAGGCTGCATTTCAATCATAGGCTTAATCCTGACCAAGTAAAGTGCTTTAAGGCTGCAATCCAGTGTACATTTACCTGGGGGTTGTCCCACTGAACACAGTGGGAGTTACACCTGAGTAAAACAGGTACCGTATTTTCCGCACCATAGGACGCACCTTTTCCCTCCTAAAAAGCAAGGGAAAATGTGTGTGCGTCCTATGGAGTGAATGCAGGCTTCAGGAAGCTATCCGCTAGCCGTGGGAGACCCAGCTCTCCCACGGCTAGCGGAGCGCTGCATTAATCCCGAAGCTTGGGGCGTGCGGAGCTCAGCGCGCCCCAAGCTTCTGGGTGCCGGCAAGAAGCTTGGGGCGCGCTGAGCTCCGCACGCCCCAAGCTTCGGGATTAGCGCTCCGCTAGCCGTGTCTAGGCTGCGGATAGCAGCCTGCTTCCCGGAGCGTCGGGCATCCTGAAAGCAGAGCGCCCGGCGCTTCGGGAACACATCCGCAGCGTGGGGACCCTTGCAGGAGTTCCCCGCAAGGCTCCCCACGCTGCGGATAGCAGCCTGCCGCCCGGCGTGAGGGGCGCCCTGAAGCAGAGCGCCCCTCGCGCCGGGCAGACATCCGCAGCGTGCGGAGCCCTGCAGCAGTTCCCCACAGGGCTCCCCACGCTGCGGATAGCAGCCGGCTTCCCGGAGCGTCGGGCGCCCTGAAAGCAGAGCGCCCGGCGCTTCGGGAACACATCCGCAGCGTGGGGACCCTTGCAGGAGTTCCCCGCAAGGCTCCCCACGCTGCGGATAGCAGCCTGCTGCCCGGCGGGTGGGGCGCCCTGAAGCAGAGCGCCCCTCGCGCCGGGCAGACATCCGCAGCGTGCGGAGCCCTGCAGCAGTTCCCCACAGGGCTCCCCAAGCTGCGGATAGCAGCCTGCTTCCCGGAGCGGTCGGGCGCCCTGAAAGCAGAGCGCCCGGCGCTTCGGGAACACATCCGCAGCATGGAGAGCCTTGCAGGAGTTCCCCGCAAGGCTCCCCACGCTGCGGATAGCAGCCTGCCGCCCGGCGGGTGGGGCGCCCTGAAGCAGAGCACCCCTCGCGCCAGGCATACATCCGCAGCGTGGGGAGCCCTGCAGCAGTTCCCCGCAAGGCTCCCCAAGCTGCGGATAGCAGCCTGCCGCCCGGCGGGTGAGGCGCCCTGAAGCAGAGCGCCCCTCGCGCCCGGCATACATCCGCAGCGTGGGGAGCCCTGCAGCAGTTCCCCGCAAGGCTCCCCAAGCTGCGGATAGCAGCCTGCCGCCCGGCGGATGGGGCGCCCTGAAGCAGAGCACCCCGCGCGCTAGGCAGACATCAGCCAGCACCACAAGCTCGGGGGACAGCAGGGAGGCGCAGCGCCACTATCCCGCTGTTCCTCGACCTGGTTCGGTTTCCCTGACCTGCTTTTGGGGGGGAAATAAAGGGAAATTTTTTTCCCCTTTATTTCCCCCCCAAAAAACTAGGTGCGTCCTATGGTCCAATCGTGCGAAAAATACGGTATATGATAATGAGTTGCAAGTAGTGTTCCTTTCAACGGGAGAGCTAAAGATAGGCTTCGGTTTCCCCTCTGGAATAAAGGGGCTTAACTTTTGGCTGCATGGCACCAAATTGTCTGAAAAGCCCCTATTGATTTCCAGCTTCTGCGGAAAGAACTCGGCAAGTTTCTCGAACCTTAGGTCGCACCCTGAGCAGAAAAACCCTCTCTTTTTTCTCTAAAAGCAGAGGTATGTTTTCATTTTGGACATAAGAAGCCCACACACAAAAAAAATACCCTCTGGGCTAAGCAGCCTTAACTGTGGCAAAATTGCAGAACCTGATGACGTCTGTATAAGAACGGCAAGGGAGCCCCACTGTGGTTCCCACGTGCGATGTTGTGGCTGATGTGTACATACCACGTTCCACCCGTACAGAGAAGCAGCCACACCCCTGGTCCCATAAACTCATTTCCAGTGCCAACTACCCTACCCTATAAAAAGCATTAATCAGAACCGGGGGGGGGGGGGTTTGCACGACCCACCAAGGAACATAGTAATGCAATGAAATTCAAAACAGTAACCCTCAGTTTCACATTTGTTCAAAGTGCACTTAAAACTATTTACTTCTACAAAAGTGATGAACCTAAATCCGGTGACACCAGATTTTCCAAGTCTGATGGCCGTTTCCACCTCCAGCAGTCCCCATTCTGCCCCCTTGCTTCTTAATTCTCCTCTAGGCAATCCCACCGTCTCTCAGGAGGTGGAAGCACTGATAAAGAGGGCCTTTGAATGAATTGGTGAATAAAGGAAGTAGGATCTGACACTAAACCCCTTCCCCATTGTTTATCCCATCTCTTTCCCTTCTCTTAGTTTTGCCCTGCTTCTGGGAGGGTGAATGGGCTTTTAAAACCTGCCTCATCTCTTGGCTTCCCCTACAAGGGGAAGAGGTGTGTGTGTGTGTGTGTGTGTGTGTGTGTGTGTGTAGAGTTGCTTCCCCTTCAGTTTGCTTCAGGTCTTCCTGCAGCTATCGAGATGACAACACAGTCACACATCTGTTACCTTGTCGTGGTAAGCTGTGATCAGCCACAGCTCTGCCTCCAAGTTTGTTCCTCGCTTCTCTGCCGCAATGAACTGCAAAAGGTTTTCGTGCTTCATGCCTGGGGTGTTGAAAATCTCCCTCTCGCTCTGCCAGGATTGTTTATCCTGTGGGTAGGGCAGGGGGAAAGAAAGATAAATGCTTGGAGAGGGGTGCCGTATGGAATGGGGAATCCTATAAAAATGGGCATTCGTGAAGCTACGTGGCTGCAAATGTTGTACAAAAATCCCACTCATCACAGCACTCTAGGAGCATTTGCACAAGGGCTCTTTAAGAAGTGGCTTGTTCAGTGGTTGATTTCAACAGCAAAATATGATCCATGCACCCCTCAGCCAAACATCTGATTGCACCCGTGCATATTCACCTATGAATATTGAAGTGTTTTGGACATGCTGCCAGTCTTTGTCAACAGCATCGGAGCCAAATGGAGAGTCTGACCTAGTATATGGCAGCTTAATGCTTTGAAATGGGAAGAGACTTACATTGCTTTCTTGCGGGTAGGATAATCTCCCCAGGAGAAGAATTTTAAAACTTGTTTGTTGCCACACTATTCCAATTCAGTCGCTTCTCCATGTCTCCATTTAAGCTTGATGGGCATAACTTTCTAGTGTCAACCTTAACTGATGCTTCCCGCTTTGCAGTTTTTTTAAACAATGCAACTAAAATTACTTTGGTACAAAAAACTAAGAGAGGAGAAACTGCACATGTGTTTGCACATAACATAAAGCCATGGTTTGTTTTACATGCAAATGAATAAGCTGTGACTCCAAAGCTTGTCTTATTTTCCAGCTGCTCTTAGAGCCTTCTGCCTCTGTGGCCTTGCAAGTATCTGGGATGGGGTGGCCAAACAACCCATGGTTAAGAAAGGTTGCTGAGTTCTGACCAAACCAGAGTTAAAAGTTAAACAAGCCATTGTTCATGAGCCAAGAACAAACCTTGACTTCAGATTGTGGTTTGTTGATAGAAAAGAAATCATGATTAGGCTGGAGGGGTCAGTTCAGATAGCCAAACAAACCTTGACTTTGGTTGAACACACCACGATTTAGCTTTATGTGCAAACCATGCCATTGTACATCACCCAGAATACCTTCTTTGGCAAAACGCACACACAAGTTCTATTAAATAATGCAACTATTCCTACAAAACTCCAGCTGGAGAAATTTTGCAGTTTCACTTAACCAGGAAACATAGAGTTTTAAAATGAAAGTTCTGTTATCCGACATTTCCCACCTATCCGTTGTGTCAAAGAGAAAGGAAGAGAACCAAGGAACTGTCAAATAAAGCTTAGCTAAAGGTTTTCAAAAGCTACACAGAAAAGAACAAGAACTAGATAGACATTAACCAGATTTAAACCTTTTGTGTGTAATCTTAACAGTTACAGCTTTCTAATCTGGATTAGGGCAGGATATCCAACTAGTTAGTCAGAGCTGGCTTGGAACAGATGACATTAAAATCTTCTTTAAATCCACGATGGCAAACAAATTGTGGAGGATTAAAAAGAATAAGGGACAGTGTTTAAAGATTTCTCAGACTACAGCTAAACTACAGACTTAAGAACTGGTTCAACAATCATTCCCTCAGTCATGGGGATCCTTAGGAATTTTACTTTTGTGGGGAAAGAGAAGTAGGGTTCACTGGTAGAGAATTCTCAGCATCTTCATCCTGCTTTCAAAATTATTTGGGGAACATCTCAGGGGATTAAACTGGTGGAATAGAAAGTATGGATAGGCCTGCAGCCAACTTGTAGATATGCTTCTCTGTTCCATAATTCTAGACATGATAACTCTGAAAGCACAGCTGAAAATTGTGCACCAAGGCAACTTAAGCAGGCATCTAAAACCTGTATAAAGGTAAAGGGACCCCTGACCATTAAATCAGCCCTGGGCAAAAGCTTTAATACACAAAGTGGGTTTGGGGGTGTTTGTGGTGGTGGAATGCCTAGAGGTCTCCCAAAGTTTTTTTTTTAAAGACAGAGCCACCTCTGATAATCACAAAACACTTGATTAGCTCAGATTTATAATGGAACCACAGTGGAGATGATACGCCACTTTTGCAATTAACCATTGTGCAGATGGTTTTTTTAAAAGGTAATGGCAAGCACAGGAGGTTCCCACTCAGCCTGTGATCGCTCTTTGCATGGGTAGAAAATCCCCCTTTGGCATAAATGCAAGTAGCAAGCATTGGTGTGTGTGTGTTTCCTGCAAAGCTTCCATGGCACACCACCTCACCAGCCAGGGTCTCTATCTGAACTGGGGGAAGAGGGGAGGGCAGTTGCTATTTACTTCTTAAAACCCCATTCACGCAACTGCTTATTGAAAGCATGGAGCCTTGTCTAGTTTGGCTCTGCCACGAGATCCGTTCCGAGGTCTTTTGGGTGCTGCAGAGCAAGGTTCTTTCATATCACTACCGAAACAAAATTATGTAACATCTGAACTCAAGCGAAAGTGCCCTGCAGATGTCAATGTGTGGTTATCAGCCCAGCTCATAAACGGCAAGCCCTGCGGGAGGTGGAGGTTGCTAACGAGATAAATGAGGTGGGAGCCCTTGAACTTTTGTGTCCAGCGAGGGTGCCAAATGCCGCCCCCTTTCTCGCAGCAGATAGCCAACCTGAAGGCCCAAGAATTCAAGGAGTTCTACATTTGCTTATGGGGTAGACCTCCCAGCTCCAAGGGCACCCCATCTTCTATGCACCTTAGCCATTTTCTTACTGATTTAAATCTATGTAGCTCAAGGAGGATGGCATTTAATAGACCCTGCAATACGTAGCAACAGAGAATCCTGAGTTTTACCCAAATCAGACCCGTATATACCGTATTTTTTGCTCTATAAGACGACGCACCTAGTTTTTGGAGGAGGAAAACAAGAAAAATAATATTCTGAATCTCAGAAGCCACAACAACAAGAGGGATCGCTGCGCAACGAAAGCAGCGATCCCTCTTGCTGTTCTGGCTTCTGGGATAGCTGCGCAGCCTGCATTCACTCCATAAGACGCACACACATTTCCCCTTACTTTTTAGGAGGGAAAAAGTGAGTCTTATAGAGCAAAAAATACGGTAATAAAAAATAAACTGGCAACTTGCTGCTGGCACCAGCCAGATTCCTATAGTTTCCACACCTACGTGCTCGTCAGTCTCCACATTTTCTCATAAAGTGTTCTGTGTGCAGCCTGCATGTAAGAGACCATGTAAGAGACCTGTGGTCTGGTCTCCCTGACCAATCCACCCACATAACTTAGCAAAAAGAACACTAGATGTTGGGAAGGGGGGAGCATTCCCCACTGTAGTCCTTCGTTCAGGCGCTCCATGGTGTCTCCGCAGATTTGTGGTTGAAGACGGGAGACGACACATCCAATTCATCCTTCTTCCTATTGATTTTTAATTGCATCTTTTATTGCATCTTTCATTTCTTGTATTGCATTTTACTGCGCTGGAATTTGAATGGTACGAAACACAATACATAAGAAATAAAAGAAGCAATAAAAATACAATTTAAAACCATACAGCATCTAGCTGCAATACAGGCGGAAAAACCATCAAATGGTTCACTAAGACCCTCAGTGATTTTCAAGCGGCCCAAAGGGCGAAAGTTCAGGAACCACTGACATTGTGGGGATTTCATATCCCAATATCTTTTTAATGTGACTTTTAATTCTCCACCAACCCACAGTGCTTTTACATTGTGTCTCTCCATTATAATTGCTCGTGGCAGCGTACAATGCAAAATAAACCAAGAGTACATTGGGGACAACCATACCAAAGTGTGGTGCTGATAGCACCAAGGTTGCAAGTTTGATCTCTGTATGGGATAGCTGAATATTCCTGAAATTGCAGGGGGCTGGACTAGATGATCCTCAGGGTCCCTTCTAACTCCAATGAGCCTATGATCTATGGTCTGTGATCTATGGTCTACATCAAGAAACAAAGAAGCAGCAAACCAACCCAAAGGAGAAGGAATACGAGACTCGTAGAAAGTCTGGGCCTCCATATGGTGTTGGACTACAATTCCCATCATGCCCTGGCCATTGGACCATGTGGCTGGAGCTGATGGGAATTGAATAAAAATAGCATCTGGGGAGCCACAGGTTTCCAGACACTTGGCTTGAAGTTTGAAACAGCCCATACGGTCTCCAGGTGTGCCAGTATTTCTGACCCTACAAATGGTCGCTCAATTAAAAATGGGGCTCCGGTTAAAAATCAGTTACCAACAAGAGGCGGGCATTGCAGGGGGGTGACCCTCGTGGTCCCTTCCAACTCTACAATCCATTGATAATATATTTGGACTCCCTGCTCCAAGCAGCCATTGGGAAGCAAGTAATTCTGAATGGCAGGTACAGTGCTGGCACTCACCTGTATGGGGAAGATTTTGACTGCCACGTAGTCATTCATCAGCTGAGCTTTCCAGACGCAGCCGAAGCGGCCCCTGGCCTTGATCTCCAACAGCTGCAAGGGTTTAAGTCCAACCAACGGAGAAGGGGGTGGCAGACCCGGGTCCTGCAAACAAGGTGTGGGGGATGATATAAAGAGACAAGTTGGAAGTTGGGGACGTTTTTGTTTCAGGTATGACCAAATGTGGGTGTGAGCTCTATCGTGCCTTTTCCCTAACCCAATAATGCTAGAAAAATGCAACCTGTGGGCGACTAATATACACACAATAATTATACATTCTTTATCCATCTTCTGAGAAAAATACAAAACCTTGTGCAAAGCCACAGAAACTTGCAAACTACCCGGTCTAAGATGAACTTACAATGTCTGATTTCAATAGATTTTTCAAATGCTTAACTCAGTCTTTTGTTTTCTTTATCTTTTTAGGCAAGTTCATGAAGATACCAACAAAAGGTAAGTTCGGTGTTGTTCACAATACCGAGAGATGCTAGTGAAGTTGTACTTGGACTGCCAGGGCAAAACAGGTGCAAAACGCCAGCACCCTGTCTACAACTTCATTAACATCCATCTGCAACTTCACTAGCATCTCTCGGTATTGTGAACAACACCGAACTTACCTTTTGTTGGTATCTTCATGAACTTACCTAAAAAGATAAAGAAAAGGCTGAGTTAAGCATTTGAAAAATCTATTGAAATCAGACATTATAAGTTAATCTTAGACTGGGTAGTTTGCAAGTTTCTGTGGCTTTGCACAAGGTTTTGTATTTTTCTCAGAAGATGGATAAAGAATGTATAATTATTTTGGAAATTATTGTGTGTAAACTTTTCCCTAATCCAGGCTGGTTGAGGTATAGAACGAACTAAGGAACTAATGCTGGATTGCCAGATGCCTCCCCCAGGATAAAATTAGAGGATTCCCAAGGATCCTACAGGCAGTCTTTTCAATTTCAAACCGGGAGAAGCATCTCTTAGGTCTTCCAGCCTGGGCCTGGTGACATAAATGTAGGCGAGGGGCTCTCCTACTCCCAGGAAGCTTACTCAGGACTTAAAGATAAAGGTAAAGGGACCCCTGACCGTTAGGTCCAGTCGTGGCCGACTCTGGGGTTGCGGCGCTCATCTCACTTTACTGGCCAAGGGAGCCGGCGTACAGCTTCCGGGTCATGTGGCCAGCATGACTAAGCCGTTTCTGGCGAACCAGAGCAGCACACGGAAACGCCGTTTACCTTCCTGCCAGAGAGGTACCTATTTATCTACTTGCACTTTGAGGTGCTTTCAAACTGCTAGGTTGGCAGGAGCAAGGACTGAGCAACGGGAGCTCACCCCATCGCGGGGATTCGAACTGCTGACCTTCTGATCGGCAAGTCCTAGGCTCTGTGGTTTAACCCACAGCGCCACCCGCATCCCCTACTCAGGACTTACTCAGAGGTAAATAGCGGGTGTAAGGAAAGGCTTCAAGTAAAACAGAATTAGTGACCCACTTCCTCAAGGTGGGGAGCAGGAAAGGCAGGTAAAATGGGCCACCACTTCTGTTTTACTCAGTGCCATTCCTTACATTCGCTATTTACATTGAAGTTCGTTTCGCACGTTATGTAAAAGCAAACCCAAGTTTTTGCCGCTGCGGGTACACTGAATGGGGGAGCTGCAGCCAATCTCAGCCCCATGGTGAATGTACACATGAGACATACTTGAAGATATCTGATTGTTTCATGCCTACATTGATCACGTGGTTGTTTTATAAGAAGCTAAAAATGTAATTTGCCCAAGTCTCCAAACTATAAGGGCTCTACGAATACAAAGTCTGACCTTGGTAAGTTTTTATCACAATGCATTTGAAAAGGGCTAATGTGCCTTAACGCTTAAATGTATCCATCTGTACACTTTCAATGCTAAGGAATGGCACTGACTTGTTTCTCAACCTCAAAAGTCTGATTCAGTAAAGAAAACAATGAAAAGAAATAAAAGAAATATTTCCACCACCACCCCTTCCAGCGTTTCAGTTGACTGATCATGCATTATCCTAACTAAAAGTGTTAATTCAACAGGAAAATTAGGCCAATGCAAACTCAAGCAACTTTTCACCCAACGGTCACAGAACTTTTAAAAAGTAATATTCTGTATGAGATACCCAGGGTTGTTTTGCGGCGACTATGACACTTTTTCTTGACCATACCTAAACTGCCCTGCCTTCCCCAATTACGTTTGAAACAGAATACAGGGAGCCATTTTGTTTTTGTGTGGTTATTTTAAGAAAAACAGCAACACAGAACAAACTGGGTGGAAAGGTCTGTTTAATCCATCATCTAGCCAAGTAGTAGCCAGTTAAGACACCTCTGGGAAGCTCACAAACAGTGCTCAAAGGGACACTTTCCTTCTCTTGTTTCTCCCCAGCGCCTGGTCCTCAGGAGGTAAACAGCCTGTATTCATGGGACTGCACTAAGTTAAAGGCGCTTTGCAGCGTACTTACTGCACGGTCAAAACATTGCTGCGCAAACGGAAAGGCAAGTACATTACTAAAGGTACTTACGCAACAGGTTGCACAACAGCAACCAGCTGTTGCACGAGGGGGAAAGAAAACCACGTGGCTGAAGACTGTCGCGCCACAGATTCCACAGCAAGAACCGGCTATTGCGCGAGGAGAATCAGCTGCGTCTCCCCTGTTTATCTGCCCAGCTCTCCCTTTCTAAATCCCGTTTGCAGAAGCGGTTTCTGCAAATGCATAACCGCCTGAAACCACCCTTAGGTTTCCCAGGTGCCCCTTGCTTCTCGCCTACCTCACTGATGTCGACGTGCCCATAGGGGGGCTTGCGGTGCCGGTACATCCAGAAGGCAAGGAGAATGGCGATGGAGAGGGCAATGATGGGGAGCAGAGAGTAAACCAGAATGTTGAGCAGCGAGAGGCTTGGCGGCGGAGACTCATAGACCACTGCAGGAAGAGGAGGGAAGGAACAGTAAGGATCCCAGACAGGGTAAGAATTGTCTTGCCGCTTAAGACGAAATGACCGTTCGCTCCAGCATCCCAAGGCAGAATTCCATCACCCTGGTTGGATTTTGGTTCTTAATTTATTTTAATCTGTTTATTGCGTTTATACCCCCAAAACAACCCTGTGAGGTTGGCCAGGCTGAGAGACAGTGGCTGCCTCCACGGTGACATATGGCTGAGTGGGGATTTGAGTTTATACAGAATGTAATAGGCTATTAATATCTGCATGCATTAATAGGATAATAACACTATATCAATTTATATAAGACTGTATAGGAGTTTATTACATTGCATTTTTGTTTATGCACCTCTTTGTTCTCTGTTTTCCCTCACACACCCACACCCCGTTCTGCCCTCACAGGGGTCAGTTATTTAGTGATAGCAAATCTGCCTATTAGTATTAGGTTGAAGGAATAACAATGCTGCCCCTTTAAGAAAAGATAGTGCCTTTTCCCCCTTTTGAGACCCCAAGGCAGGTTGGGAAATGTAGGCACAGCAATAGTCTACTTTTAATTGGCTCTGCCAGAGAGCAGAGCCTATTGGCTTTGGCCAGAGCCGGAAGAAGCCTCCCTTTCTCCTTTGTAATCTAGTGACAGCCTAGTTATGGCAAAGTCCAAGAAGAAGGGCAAACTCACTTTGTCCTTACAGAGCTCCACAGAAAACTTCATTCAGAGCCATTGGAATGCAAGCAATATTTCTACATGTGCCTCGATTATCTTCAATAAATCTATGTATGAGAGCTTTGTCGAGTTTTGTTAATACTATCCACAAAGAGAGAGAAATCTCCAGACAGAACAGTAAGGACAAATGAATGATGCGCTCTCTTTCTCTCTAACAAGAATTTGCAACTGAAAGTGGTTTACAAATCAGCCTTCTCCTTGTGCACATGTGAAACCAGCCCTGTTAGTCTCCCAGAGCAATTTACAAATGCAAACAAGGTTCTCAAAGTATCAGCCTGCAAGCTCGCTAGCCCTGGAATTCTCCCTGCCTACCCTCTGCATTGAAGAAAAGTGCATCCTGCTTTTCCTAGCAACTCTGCAAACTTATGCAACTCAGTAACTCTCCTCACCCAGCAAGCGTTCTCCACTGCAATTCCATTGAAGTGCTAATTCTCCACTGCAAAGCCCACACACCTTCTCAAACAGCTAAACTGAAAGATTACAGGAATAAAACCCTCCAGAGAAAGCCACACCTCATCTAATGTTGAGATATGGTACCGCAGCCTTCCAATTTTAAGTGTATTTGAACCAGATTCTTTAAAAAAATGGGAGACCATTCTGAAAAAGCAACCAAGCAGGGGATGAGACAGGAACTAGCTTCTGATACAGCTAATGGTGCCACAGGGTCTTCGGGTCAAAACAGACTTAGGAAGCTGACCCCCAAAATGAGAGGAACATAAGGCAAACCAGCTAAGGCGGCTTGACAGAGGCTGCAGAAAGACATTCTGGAGACTGATGGTGCAACACTCCTGGAGAATAGGCCTCACCAGAGGACCCGCTTGGCCAAACGCCTGGTGCAATGGACATCTTACACAGATTGCCTCTCCGCCATTTTTGCGCAACTACACCCCAGCGATACCTGCGATGAGTGGCTGCATTTCAAGCAGGTTAACGGCCAGAAGGACTCCACTTTCCATGAGGCCATGAACACTTTGGAGAAGCACATAAAGCAGTGGTGTCCAAACTTTTTTCAAAGAGGGCCAGATTTGATGAAGTGAAGGGCCATGAGGGCTGACCAAAGTAGTTGTTGAGCTTTTTTTCAGGCCTGAAGTTGTTGAGCTTTTAGGGTTGAAGTTGTTGTTTTTAAGGATTTTACCTCAGGAAATAAACTGTCACAGAGCCAGATTAGGCCCCCGAAACAGACTTTGGACATGCCTGGCATAAAGGAACAAGAAGCACTGCTTCTCACAGAGGCTGACAAGAGATGAACCAAAGCCGCATTCTCAAGGCAGTGGCCCAGGCTTCTCTACTGTTAAGGTCTTACTCCAGCTCCATCTCAAGTTTGTCAGTAGTCACTTCAGGACGCCACTCCTCACAGCACAAACACTCTCCTTGTTCTCGCCGCTCCTCGCTGACAGGGAGCTCTCACTCCCACTCTTACGCCAACAGATCGTCTTATCCATCCA